TTCTTAAAGGCAAGATCGATACTGGAAGTACTGTTAGCTTCATAAATTTATCTACATATAATAATGATTTATCTTTAAATAAAATTGTTAAAATCAATGGTACTTATAACCTCTTGAATGACAATAATTCAATTCCTCGTATTGGTAAAACTATTCCTTTAACTGTACAATACATTAATGGTATCCAATTTCAACACGAATTTGAAATTATAAAACTAAACAAAGATTTTGACTTTGATGTCCTTCTTGGCACTGATATACTGGTCAAACTAAATATAACATTACATGGAGTTGCTTATAAACTTGAGAGGAGTGAAGATTTTGATAACCTGAATCATGAAACGGCCATAAAACATGAGCCGGATGCATCCCCTGCTGGCACACCCGAGCAGATGCGAAAATTCATGGAGTACCTTGAACCTTCATTAAGTGCCAACAAAGCTATCCCTGAAACATCTTCCTGTCCCTTGAGGGAATCAATTGTTTATTTGCCAACTACCCCTGGCGCCACGGCATACCGTCGTCAATATCCTATTCCACATGCTTTACGTCCTGTTATTGATGAACAAGTACAACTTTGGCTAAAAACTGGTACTATAGTAAAGTGCCGGAGGAATACTTCATTTAATAGTCCATTGCTGACTGTTCCGAAGAAATCAAAAACTGGTGAAATTACTGGTTATCGTGTTTGCCTAGATGTACGTCTCTTGAATCGTATTTTACCTCCCACGTTTAATTATCCTGTCCCATTAGTTGGAGATATATTTCGTAATCTGGCCTATAAAAAATACTTCACTACAATTGATTTGACTAGTGCCTATCATCGTTTTGAAGTAGCTAAAGAAGACCAACATAAGTTGTCCTTTACACATCTGGACGGCAACCAGTATATGTTTATTAAGGCCTGTTTCGGCTTAAAGTTTTTAACCTCTCAATTTCAGAAGGTTCTGGCTGGTTTGTTTGAAGACATGCCTTATGTACAGAACTTTGTTGACGATTGTGTTGTTGCAAGCACTTCGCTAGAGCAACATGTAACAGACGTTAAAAACGTCATCGACAGATTAACATCTGCCAATCTGATTATCAACATTGATAAATGTAGTTTTTTCCAACACTCTGTTCGACTTTTGGGTCATGTCGTTGATGCAACTGGCACTCATGTTGACGATAATAAGATCACCAACGTTCAAACATGGCCCAGACCTAAGACTGGTCGACAAATTCAGTCATTTTTAGGACTGGTCAATTACTTTCGTGCTTATATACCAATGATCTCTGATGTGAGCAAACCACTTACTCGGCTTAGTCATAAAGGCAACATTGAAAAGCTTTGGGACTCTACCCAAGAGAAAGCATTTAATTCTATTAAAGCCATCCTAAAGTCGCGTGTTGTTTTACATCATCCGAGAATGTCTAAACCCTTCTTTGTTGCAACTGATGCTTCACAGTACGGTGTTTCTGCTGTACTCTTCCAAAAAGATGATAAAGACCGTGATTTGTATATCAATTTTGTGTCTCAATCATTACAACCCTCTCAATGTAATTGGAGTACAACTAGAAGAGAATTATATGCGGTTATTTTCGCTTTAAAGAAATTCCGTGAATATCTCTTTGGCCGTCAATTCACCTTATACACGGACCATAAAAGTCTTACCTATCTCCACACCCAGAAAATTCTTAATCCAATGTTACTTGGATGGATTGAAACATTAATGGAATACGACTTTTCTGTTGTTCATATTCCTGGTTTTATGAATCGTTTGGCTGACCTTTTAAGCCGCTTGTATCCACCTCTTTCAGAGAGTGAACGCAAGCTGGGGGAGAATAGGGTTCTACAGAAAACATTAGTAAAGCGTAAAAAGTATAATGAAGATAAAAAATTGAACGTATTAGCTACCAAATTAGTAGAGAACAAAAGCATACCTGTAGAATATATAACTCCACCTGAGGAGGAGAGAAAACAATTATTGATTGACATGCATAATCTCGGACATGCCTCACATGTTGCAATGGTGAGAGACTTACATGACCAACAACTACATTGGAATAATATTTATGAAGATGCTAAAACTGTATGTGAAGCCTGTACACAATGTCAAAAGCACAATATTGTTCGTCGAGGATATCATCCCATAACGAACATTGTCAGTGCAAGACCTTTTGACCATATCAGTATGGATCTTGTAGGTCCCTTCAATCAAAGCTCTGATGGCTATCTCTATATTCTAATTGTTGTATGCATGTGTACAAAGTATGTAATTGTTCGCCCATTGAAGAATAAGCATTCAGATACAGTTGCCAAAACCTGTGTAAAAATATTTGCTGATTATGGTTTACCAAGAATAATTAGTTCTGATAATGGTACAGAATTTAAGAACAAGTTAATGAATGAAATATGTCATCATTTACACATCAAAAAGAATTACAATACAGCTATGTATGCTCAATCTAATGGTCATGTTGAAGCATACTGTAAAATCATTCAAAACACTTTGAGAAAAATGATTGATGGTAATTCTCGTGATTGGGATTTATATTTACCATTAGTACAGCTTTGCGCTAATAGACAAATTAAAAAGAAATCAATGAGTGCTCCTTTCTCATTGATGTTTGCTCGAAGAGTTAACCTACCTGATAACTACGCTGATGAGGATAGATACCCTGTCCTCCAAGAAACTACTACAATTAAAGAACTTGAAGATCAAATTGAAAAAATGGAAAAAATGGTTTTTCCCGCTATAGTTGAACGTACAAAGCAGTTGAATGAAAAGATCAATGAATATTACAATTCAAGCCATAAAATAGTGGATATTCCTGCTGGTACTCATGTTATGATCAGATTGCCTCAACGTAGTAACAAGCTTTCTGCACTGTATGATGGTCCATACACTGTCGTTAGAAAGAATAAAGGTGGTTCTTACATATTAAAAACACCTGAGACTAATGAACTGTTACCAAGAAACTATGTTCCTTCAGAATTAAAAATTGTAAACATTGATGAAGGTGCCGTTGATGAATATTATGAAATTGAAGATATCTTGGAACATCGTGGTCCAAAGGGTAAACGTGAGTTTTTAGTGAAATGGAAAGGTTATACAAATGAACATAATACGTGGGTCAAAGCAAGCGATTTCTCTAGCACAGAACCGATTGATAAATACTGGCAAAAGCATGACCTGCAACAAGAAGAACAAGAACAGAATACAAAACAAAGAAATAGTAAACGAAAGAGAAATGTTACAGTAGTAATGCGACAACGCAATAAGCGTAAATCAAATTAAGAGAAGAAAAAGAAAGATGCTTACATGGTAAATGCCTTAGGCAGTTACCAAATGTTAGGTTACATATTTTAATTTCTGGCAAAAAATGAAGAGATGATCTATGAAACAATTTACGGATTTAATCTCACAATAATAACTTAAAATCTTCATCTCTACATATGTAAGCCGAATAACAATCACAAGGTAATTGTATTCTGGGGGAGAATAGTGTTGTATCGATGAAGAGATCACTGCTGAATATTACATAATAAAACCGAAGTACGCTTCGTTATTGATAGTTATAATTAAATGGCAGGTTACTTCACGTACATGATCTATTGGTACTTCAGTCTAGAATTTACATTGTTGATTGAGGTGACTTATCCAGTTTCTATTAGCCTCTATAACTATTACCTTATAGAGTGAGAGGTCTTTATTTGCTATTCCGCAGACATTATTCTATTCCAGACTCCACCTATTAAAGGTCGTAGAGGAGGTACACTAGATTCGGTGATCACTTTATTGTAAATTTATAATCTTCATCACGATTATGGTAACCATTGAATGCCCATGTCGATTATATCCTCTTCTCTACTGGTTCCTATAATGGACGCTATTAGTATCATTCAGAACCAGTCTATATACCCAATCACTTGTTGTCCGATAGGGCAATCTTTATATTGCCCGATACTACTAAGTCCGACCAGTCAGGGTCGAGTTACACATTTCTGTTGCTCTCTTTCGGTGTTCCTGTCGCTGGTGTTTATTGGTCCTTTCTCCGGGTTACAAGATCAGTTAACATAGTCCATGGTGAATAGGCCTGTATACCCACTCCGTAAAAGATATAAATACCAGTTGATTCTGTTCATCTAGACGAACTTCATCTTAATTTTAAGAAAGAAATAAACTTGAACCTTCCAGAGTTTTCACAGACTTGTCACTGTTTATTTCCTATTTTATTTATATTTTGATCTTACCGATCCAACATAGGCGAAGAAGGGCATTGTCATCATTTTTTAGAATTTTTCTTTGTTCGGTGGTTGTTAGCTTTCTCAAATTCAACGGCTAACTTCTCGGCTTCCTTAATTGAGCTACTGTATCTTGAGTTTGTTGCATTAAGTGTTGCATTGTGTCAAAGTCTACCATTTTTTCAATGTTTCCATGCTCTAGTGAAATTGTGTCAATATCCATTCTACAGCTTTCTTCTTCATTGACTGTAAGCAGTGACAGAAATAATGAGGACCAAATAACAGAACAAGATTGTGGGGTTAGTGTTATTAACGTCTCTGAAAGGCTTGTTACAACGGACAGAAAGATTACACGTGATATGATAACGTTTATTGAACAGAAGATGTACTGTATAGAGAAAATATGTGGGGCAAAAAAGACAGATAAAAGCACTGAAGAGCATTAACTTCAGATATGGATCATATTTACAATATTACTGTAATTAGAGAGGTGAAGCCTCTCTAATGAAATCATTCGCCTATTAGGCGACATAACACAGTACAGTAGATTTCATACAGTTTTATAAGTATACTGTAGTCAGGTAGGTACTGTACGTGTCCTCGTTCATACAGTATCAATTTCTGTTTCGTTGTGAATGTTGTTCTGTAACAACTCGTTAGATGCGCAATTAGACTGCATCTGTTTTGAGTCAGCGGGGAATTGTACAGAACGTATTGCACATGTGGAAGATTGGTGCTACGGAGGAACTCGTTTATTGTTAATGCGATGTTGCTATTGCTTGTCGCGGGTGCATACAGATGCGTGTTCTGGGGACCAGGGAACGTTGGCAGAACAATTGAAGCATATGTTTTTGCTTCGGAAGGTGCGACTGGGGTTTGATACTTCCGGAGCCGCAGTGGAGATAATTGTGAAATTTGGCTGTTTTTGACATTGTTGTGCCATCATTTCTTTGTATTTTACACTGTTCAGTTGATTGATTTCCCCAGCGGTGTATGGCGCATTCATATCTGTTTTTTGTGTTACCAGTAGAATTTTTATTGATTCCCAAAGCAGATTTGGTGTCACGATCGCGGTTAAAATTGGGCTGGGATCGTGTAAATGAAATTGCGCTGATATTGTTACAGTATTGTTGGTTCGAGCATTGGAAGTGTCATCGTCTTTAATAGTTGTAATTGATACTGTATAGTGTCAATTATATTCGAGGATATTACCATTCTTCCCTTGCTAGCAACCTTGTTACTGTAACAGTGTCTTGCTCGTTACGGGGTACATTTAGGAGTAACCTAGCAACTTCGGGGCGCAATTTTGGTAATAGCGATAGTCTGAGGAGTGTTGCTGTTTTAACATCGTTTTCCCGTTTTGCAGCTCGGCGTAGTCGTTCAAACCTATCTGTGATTGCGTCGATGGATTCCCGTGGTGCCATGCGTAGGTTTAGCAATTGTTCCATGCTATCGATTTCTTGGGCGACGTCTTCGGTAGCATAGTATCTTTTTATGACTATGGTGTCATGTCCCGATCACTGTCTACGGTATCGAAACACGAGTGAGAATTATTTAATTTAAACACAGCATAAACGGCTGTCAACTTAGACTCGAATTGTCGATTAAGCAATTGTTTACAAGTCAAACTGGTATCAGATCCATAACAGTGTAAGAACACGCCTTCACTAATCTCTCATTAAATCCATTAGTACTCATTGGTTGCAACTACATCTTCCTAACATCCTCTACAGTATAAGCTCAGCTAATTCTCTGAAAAATATATAAAGCCTTCATGTTCTCAAAATTGAAATAAAAATTATCTGACTTTTTCGGTCTCGTTCTATCTTCTTGGTCTATAAAAATACTTAAGAATATCTCATATGGTCTTGATCTCCTCCCAAGATAGATTGCGTCCTTTAAGAGTAGTGTTGAACCAAGAACGCTGATATCGGTTCTTCATGTTTAAAGGCATAAGGCGTTGCCTGTTTGTATCGAGGTTAAGGCTTGTCGCATTGACTTGTTGCTTCTCGAATATTTCTAGTACATCTTCGATTGTTTCGTACATAATTGATTCTGGGTGCCATTTATTACCAAGACCATTCCATTGCCAATAAGGAAGATCCATAGGAATGCAGGAGTCACTGGTAGCGTCACTCTGGCGGTGTTGGTGTGCCAAAAGAGGAGCTGGAGAGTGAAGTCTGTGAACTTCTTCCATATACCTGATGCGGCGGACAAGACGTTCTGATTCTGCCTCTGTTGTATATTGAGGCATAAGTCCGTATATAGATATTGACAGAGACAAATAAATCCTGCAATACTTGCTATGTGACTATCCCATAATATGACATTAGTCTCTTCTGGTACTTAATCATTCACTATTGAGATTACATATGGATAAATGATATTCTTTATTGTCTGTGCATTATGAGATAATATTATTATAATAATAGAGTCCAATGCTACAGCATGTTCCATACATATTTTTATCCTAAGCCAGATAATATTAAGATAGATCCAATGGACATAATAGACGGAGGTATTCATGATATGAATGGCGCAGCAGAGACCTGAAGGTCGGATAAAAGATCTCTGGCTCAGCAACACCACTTGTATCAGGTATAGACCCAGACATTATCCAGAAAGATCATGTCTATTCCAGCAATTTCCATATTCTCTTAACATATCTATATCCGCCTATGAATATCCAATTGTATTCTTCCACATAGTCGTATCAACTGATATCAATGATATGGATGATTAAACATGTCTCATGTTACTGTTCTGATTTCCTAGAAATTTCCAAGCAAGCAATTCTAGAACTCCGCAAGGCATATCTCATTCTCAGATCAAGTTCCTGAAAAGTATAAATATGATCCCAAGTTGAAGTGTAGAAAGAAAGGAGTCTTTGTCTTATCTTTATCTTTTGTCTTAATCGACTCTTAATAAACCTACCACGAGTTTTCACAGACTTTCTCTTTGTCTTTCTATTCTTTTACTATTATATTTTACCTATACACAACATTTTTTTCTGTGAATTACCTACAACCATGAATTCTCCTGTTACTGGTTCTGCTGTTTCCCCTGTCACTGGCTCTGCTGTTTCTCCTGTTCCTTCCGTTGCCAACTCTGCCAATGGTTCTGCTCCAGTTCCTACTGGTACATCTCCCTCTTTGCCAGCCAACGCTGGTACGGTTTCCTCTATCTTTGATGGTTCTTCCTCTTTGTCGAGTGATCCCGTTTCTATTGGTCATTCTTCTGCTATGGCGATTGATTCCTCTCCTAGCATGGTAGCCTCTGTTCTTGGTGATTCTCACCATGAAACGATTGATCCTGACGTTGCTTTGGGTTCGGCTTTAACTGATCTTAAGGCTGAGCTCAATCAGCATATCCAAAGCTGGGCAGCTGCCCGTTCTCGAGGTGACGTCCAAGCTGCGGATAGAGCCCTGCAACAGTTGGAGCAAACAAAAAGGGCTATTAAGAGCTTTGATGATTGCCGAAAAGCTTTATCTTCCGTCTCTGGTTCGTCTAATAAGGCAAACACTGAAGATGAGAAAGCAGGAAAAGGAATCGTTTTTTCGTTGCATCGACGAGACTTACCTAAGTTCCAGTTGAGCACGCATTTAATGCGATACTTTCCGAATGATGAGGTTTATGAATCCGTCGAACAGTTTTTAAAGACGTTTGAGCGTATCGTTAACCCGGCTACAGGCAATAACATCGAGAAGTATTGGAAGCAAATTATTCCACTTACCCTTCCTCCAGGTGATGACACATGGATCGAAAATTCACTTTTGACCTGTAAAACTTGGAAAGAGGCAAAGGAGGAATTCCGCCGACATCATGAGTCGCCTTCTACTACCAATCGCTTTGTTGAATTGGTCTTCACAATGCAGATGAAGCATAGAGATTCGCTCGTCGATTATTCTAGACGTTTTCTGCAGGCCATGTTCAATGCGGGCATTCCTCGCGACGATCAACGAGCTGCGCAACGTTTCCTTGCCTCTCTGTCCAGTGATGTGCAACCTTTCGTCCGCATGTCGATGAATAATGTTGATGCTGCTAAGGGTCAAGCGCAAGATTGGACAGTTGAAACGATTACTGATGTTGGTCGTAAGATACTTGGTGACAATCCGGCCGCTTATAGGTCTATTGCTGCCATGATGCCTGGACACAATGCTGATGGTCGTTTTGAGGGTTCTGCTTCTCTTGGTGCTGCTGTTAATAGTGGTAAACACAAGAAGAAGGGATCCGTCCACATGAAGGCAAAGGTGCATAAAGAAACTGTCTTATTCTGCAAGCATCACGGACGTAACTATACGCATGGTACTGCTGACTGTTTCTTCTTAAACAAGAAGACCAAAGGTGATATGTCTACTTCTACAAAAGCTGTTAACAAATGTCGTCGTTGTGGTGAACCTTGGTCTCGTGAACACAAATGCCGAAAGTCCACTTCTGATGGTCATGTCCTTACTGTCAGTGAACCTGATAGTGAAGAGATTGCAAAGATGGAAAAAGAGCTTGGTTTGCAAAATGAAAATCAGCCACATATCCCTAATGAGGATGTCGTCATGGACGAGAACAATTCCGATTCCGCTTATGACTGTAAGTTATCAATTTCAGAGAGAACATTAAATAGTACTTCCATAAGAGATGATACTAATCCACTTAATGTTTTTACACCTATTAGAATTGAGGGTAAAACGTTGATAGGCTTTGTTGATACTGGTAGCAAATACAGTTTTATAGATTTGACTACATATAACAATAAATTAAATCTTAACAAAATCAATAAAGTCAGTGGTTACTTTAATTTCTTAAACAATAGAAACAATGTTCCTCGTATTGGTAAAACTGATCCTCTTCTTGTTGAATACACAAATGGCGTTAAATTCAAACACTCTTTTGAGGTTATGAAATTTAATGAGCACTTTAAGTTTGACGTTCTTTTGGGTTGCGATATCTTGAAACATCTGAACATTTCTTTACACGGTGTTGCATTTAAGCTTGATGACTTCAAGTCTAACTACTTGAAAGACATTAACTTTGACAATGCCAGTTTTGAACATGATAATCTCCATGAACCTGATTCTTCTCCTGCCGGTACTCCTGAGCAAATGAAAGAATTTATGAGTTCTATCCAGGATGTTCTTGAAATAAATAAAAATATTCCTGACTCATCAGCATGCCCATTACCTGCATCAGTCATTCATCTACCAACTCCCCCAATGCGACAGCGTACCGCAGGCAGTATCCTATTCCTCATGCCTTACGCCCAGTATTGGATGAACAAGTACGAAAATGGTTGGAAACTGGTACTATTGTTCGTTGTAAAATGAACACATCCTTCAACAGCCCTTTGTTGTTGGTTCCAAAGAAGTCTAAGACTGGAGAAATTACTGGTCATAGAGCTTGTCTAGATGTTCGTTTACTCAACAGAATTTTGCCACCATCATTTAATTATCCAGTTCCTCTCATTAAAGACATCTTCCGCAATTTAGCTGGAAAGAAGTACTTTACCACGATCGATCTCTCGAATGCATACCATCGTTTTAAAGTAGCCGAAGAAGATCAACACAAATTGTCGTTCACACATATTGATGGAAGACAATACATGTTTGTCAAAGGATGTTTTGGCTTAAAGTTTTTAACTTCACAATTCCAGAAAGTTCTCAGTGTTTTATTTGAAGGACTTAGCTGTGTACAAAACTTTGTTGATGACTGTGTGGTTGCCAGTGAATCTATTGAGCAACATGCGCAAGATGTCAAGCAAGTTATTGAAAGGCTGAATAGCGCCAATTTGATCATTAACCAAGATAAGTGCAGCTGGTGCCAACACTCTGTCCGCCTTCTAGGATTTGTTGTTGATGCCAATGGTACTAGAGTTGATGATTCCAAAATTACAAATGTTCAGACCTGGCCAAAACCCAAGACAGCAAAACAAGTTCAAGGTTTCTTAGGCCTGATAAATTACTTTCGCGATTATATACCCATGATAGCACGAGTAGCTGAGCCTTTGAATCGCATTAGCCATGCTACCAATGTTGAAAAGGTTTGGGGAGAGGCCCAAGATTAAGCTTTTGAGGCACTCAAGAAGATCCTGTCATCTAAAATGGTTCTCACCTATCCCGACATGACAAAACCTTTCACAGTTGCCACTGATGCATCCAAATTTGCTATCTCAGGAGTATTAATGCAGAAAGATAGATTGGGACGAGATGTGTACATTAGTTTTATGTCTCAATCATTGTCACCATCGCAGCGCAATTGGAGCACCACCAAAAGAGAGCTGTATGCCGTCGTTACTGCCTTACAAAAATTCCGTGAATACCTTTGGGGTCAAAAATTCACTGTATACACTGACCATAAGAGTTTGGTTTACTTGCACACTCAAAAGGTGATGAACCCTATGCTCATAGGATGGCTTGACACTCTACTTGATTTTGATTTTGATGTCATCCACCTTCCTGGCATGTTAAATAAACTCCCTGATCTATTGAGTCGCTTATACCCACCTCTTTTAGAGAGTGACTATAAGCTGGGGGAGAATAGAGCTAAATCAAAGCCTACTCTAAGCAGTAACAAGAAGCGAGTGGTAAAGCGTAAGCGCTATAGCAAGGACGAACAAATTAATGTTCTGGCTACTAAATTGGTTGAAAACAAGGATAGACCTATTGAATATATATGCCCACCTGAAGAAGAGAGACACAAGCTGCTAGTTGACATGCACAATTTAGGACATTTTGGCAGTCAATTTATGGTTCGTGACCTCCACGATCAAGGACTACATTGGAGCAATATCTATGCTGAAGCAAAAGCTGTTTGTGAGTCTTGTCCTGAATGCCAGAAACATAATATTGTACAACGAGGATATCATCCCATTAGAAATATTGTAGCTTACCGTCCTTTTGATCACATCAGCATGGACCTTGCTGGACCTTTTCCCATGAGTTCTGATGGATACATGTACATCTTAGTTGTGGTTTGCATGTGCACCAAATTTGTTCTGATTCGACCATTGCAAAATAAGCACTCTGATACTGTCGCAAGAACTTTGGTAAAGATTTTTGCAGATTTTGGTTTACCCAGAGTCATTTCTTCAGACAATGGTACAGAATTCAAGAATAAACTCCTGAATGACATATGCAGGCAATTACATATACAGCGCAACTACAATACAGCATACTATGCCCAATCTAATGGTCACGTTGAGGCATATGTCAAGATTGTCCAGAATACCTTGAGAAAAATGATCAGAGGTAATTCTAGAGACTG